CTAACTAATCTAGAGGTATATAAGTAAAAATTAATTTCATTTCGTTAGTCTCGCTAACACTCGAGAACGGATGAACTGATTTGGCTAATTTTGGTCTTGATAGGTTCGTGGAAGTCTAGGGAAGGTTTAAAAGGTGAGAAAAATCTTTTAGGCGGTACAAAGTTTGCCGGGTCAGCTAGTTTGATATATAAACCTAGGACCGTTTCTTCAATGAATAAGAAAGAGTCTCTCTGCTCAATGAATTCACGTTTACAAAGCCGATCTTGGTACCTAATACAAAATCTATTCTTCAAGCCTGATTAAAGAATGATCCATAACAAAAACAAACAAGCACTTACTTCAATCTTACTAATATCCGTAAATACAATTTATTACTAACGTAAACGATATTGGTACTTATCTACATACAAATAGTATTGGAGATCGCATACCGATGTGTTTACCAAATATTCTGATAATAGATAACCTTAGTTTTATGGCTATCAGCTTGAGAGGATCGATATAAGTAGTTGAATTGAGTGATCCGGAGCCAATATTTTGGGATGCTAGTAAAATATGGGTTTATAGATATTACTTTGTAGCGATTTCAGATGAGTTTCATAGGCAAATCCGATTAAGCAGACCTTTCAGTAATCTATATTATAGTTCAAGTTCATTAAGCAAGCATAAAAATATTTCTTTTGGCCTATGGGCGGGACCAACTTACAACTCTTTACATTTCTATTATTTAATATAATGTATATTAAATAATAGAAATGTAAAGAGTCCCATTCTTTGCCAGAGTCTGTATTTCCTGAATGAATAGGTTGCTTATGGGTCGACGTGCTGCATCGTAGACCGCATCATCGTTTACCACCAGGCGAGATAGTTGCCAAACGTCGGCCAAAAACAAAAGTTTATACATTTTTATTCAACCACCAGGTAGCCTACCCTTTCTGTAGAATTCCTACGTCATAATAATCCACATACTCAGTACTTACTAATCATTAAATTTGTCTGCCAATGGAGTGGAGGAGAGACCATGGAACGATGTTCTACTCCAATATAAGCGAAGATACCTTCCATTCCTCTCTATTATTGACGTACGGACGTCCTCGGCTCACTGCCAGCAAAGTTAATGCAATCACGTAAACTGTTCATCTCGTTTGAAGCTACTCTGCACCTGCAGCTGATTGTGTAACTACAAGCATTTTAGTTAGAGTACGTAAACGCCTTGTTTGGAATATACTAAATATTTTCCCAGTTGTTAGTAGTTAGTTTTGTTTACTGTTTTGCTAAAATATTCACCCAATCCCAGAATACCCCACAATACTCAAATTCCCAATTTCCAAAAGGCCAGTAACGCCTCTGGTGTTCCAGGTATCCACGGGCGGCGCCGATTGCTTACCATCAGGTGATCCGCCTGCTAGTTTACCGGCTTATGCCATAAACAAATTATTTATTTATTTATTTTATTTTCAACTTCACACAACAAGTGTGTACAGGTGGACTTAATAATGCCTTGGGCAATGTCTCCCAGTCAGTTTAAGCAGTGCAGAGATGAAAGTAGCAGGTGATTTTTTTTTTTTTTTTTTTTTTTTTTGGGGG